CTAATACATCATTAGGTGAGTTAACACAATTATTAAATAAATGAAGATAATCAATCTGTGAGTACTTTTTTGCTTGACTAATGCAATCGTCTTAACGAATGAACAAACGAAATGCACTCAGAAACCTTGTGCAGATTCGTGCAGTAGGAAATGAGCCATACCTATTGAGTATGAGGACTAATGATACTACGCTAAACCTTCCAAGGTTTGGACAGTCAATTACTATGTTGATCTTGATGATGACCATTATCCCAGCAACAAGAACCATACAGAGAATAACTAAACCAAGTCTCTGTGGTTAGTGTCATAAACTGAGTAATTCACCTATTTACAAAAGTCTGTCAACCGTAGTGGGCTGGATAGTGAAGAAATCACAGTTCGGATATATATAAAAACGCCTGTTTAACTTACTCTATCTCAAGCGCTAAAGAGAAATTCTGGTGTACCAAAAAAATGAGCATACCGCAAATTGTATATATGTTTGGAACACAGGTAAACTTACCAGCACCCGACACTAGCTGCATTTCTTGACCTGAAGGCAGTATTCGACCCCGTCGATCATGAGGTCTTCTGGCAAATCCTCACACTGAAACGCGTGTCAAGTTAGTTTATCAACCTGTTGAAGGGTTTGTACCCGAATACCTGTAGACTTGTTAGAGCCTGCAGTGAGTCATCAGGTGAGACTTGTATGTCCATTACTGTTTATCGAAGAGGTCTACTCTCTCTCGATTTTTATTCAATTTATCACAAATGTACTTATTGGGGTCTATTTACCATAGTGTGACCTTATAGGGATTGATTCTGTCACATGAGAACGCTTAGAAGACCTGGAGTATGCAGATGATACTCCTGTTAGGTGAAGGTGAAGTCTTTTAGACACCTTAGGTGGCATTTTGAGAATGCTTGGAACGCGTTCCTCTCCACCCAAATTTGTTGATCTAGAACTGGTCTTCAATGACGTCTTGTTTAACAATAGGGAGTGGAATTGTTAAGCGCGCGAAATTGGACCAACCCTAAAACGGTCAACGACCGACAAAATCTCTGCATGAATACACAAACCTCGATTGGTTTTAACCAAGTGGCACCATCTGTGATGCTTCCGTGACATCTGATTGTCTATCAAGAGTTCAGTGTACTGTGTTGCAGTTTTCTTCGTTCTACTGTATGGCTGAAAAACGTGGTCATCAAAAATAGGGGATACGAGAAAACTTCAGGTGTTGGCCACCGTTGCCTTCGTAGCACAGGTCATGTCGTAGTGTCACCATGTCAGACACGAAGAAGTTGGCGTAGTTTGGAGCAGAAAAGAAAAGTCAGTTGATGAGACTGTTCATCTTCATCTATTCAAGTGGCTTGCACATGAGTTACGTAAGCCTTTTCACCATCTACCTCATAGCACAATATTAGTTGAAGTACGTTTAGTCTGCAAAGAGGTTTGAGGAGGCCACGCAAAGAGAATGGCATCAGTCCATGAAGTCTATGTGACAACAACCAGTGGTTGGAGATTCCAGGTGATATGGTTCGGAATTGATCCTAATGGCGCAGATGTATCCACACATTAACTTCATTTTAATTATAATACCGAATTTCGCTATCGTTGCTTCACAGGTCTTAGTGCATTCATGCTTGATGTGCCGAAGTGTCGTAACTTGGACCGCTTCGCGGTACTGTTAGGTCTTACGTTGATACTATCTGTCTGTCTTACAGTTGTCAGGCATAGCTGTAGAAAGTGGGAGGAGCGGTATTCGAACTCATGACTAGCTGGTTGATAATCAACACCCTAAACCAATGAGCCACAGCTCCACTGTTACTTCCGTTAGAATCACGGTCCTAAGACAACTGTATGCTAAGTGAGACCGACCATTCTGCACGATTCTATAATCTATACATTAAATCAGCTATTTTATTCTTATGAATTACGGTGAGTTGTGAACATATAACTCAGTTTTATGCATGCAAATCATAGTGCAGACATACAAGACAGTCAGAATTTTTGTGATGAGTTATCATCATCCTATACAGACAGATGATGCATTCATGGGTAGTCTCCACTTGTCATGAAAAAGTGCCTACGCGTGTACAGCTATTCCATGTAACTTTGACTTATACTATGATCCTATCGGGTATCTTTTAAATACAATTGAGTCTATGTTACTATGACTATGTTGGTGCAAATGCAGACATTTATTGTTGCGACTGAGATTTTGTGAACTGTTTGTGTGACCTGCTTTCATGATTGCATAAAATATATATATATTACAACTACAATCCTTGTTCTCTCTGTATCATTTCGGAGCGCTGGTGCCAGTGAATACCTAGCGTGGACTAATTAGTTTATGATTCAACTTTGAAAACAGCACAAGTTTTCAGTGTACAGAGATTGCGGGGTGGCAGTATGGCGCTGTAACTTAATTACTAGTCGATCGTGGGTTCGAATCCCGCTCCATCTATCGACAGTTGGACAGCCAGTTAGCATCATTAACCATGACACAAGAGGTGTGGTTCATGGCCTACTTCACGGATGTACATTTAGAGTGTATTTCGTTTTGTCTCGGGAAGCAAACCGCATAGACAGACTTGTCATTGCTAGACGTGGAGGTTATACGTAGGTTTAATCACGTCCGTAGTCAATTCAAGCTTAAGCTATAACAGATTGTAGTCTTATAATTTTACAGTAGTGAAGGGGTGAACAGTGTGTTGTATTTTAAACAATTCAATGCACGTATTTATCAATAGGAAAAGCATACAACTGTGTCGAATACTCGCTCCAACGAAGTTTTTCTTACAGCTTTTCAAGTAGTGAAGAGTAGAGTACAGCGAATAAGATTCTTCAAATACTTTTTGGTTAGATAGTGAGATTTATAGTCAAACAAAACTAATTCTAAGAGGATAGTGAAGAACTGTGGAATCAAGAAAAGAAATTGAAACCGCAAGAACACACTAAATTTCAGAATAATTACCTCAATAGTTTGTCAAAGAGAAGTAAAATCTCAGAACTTCTGTTGAATTCAAAACAGTTATTGTAAATAGTTTCCTTTGAATTCCCTTAGTGAAACTGCCACGTCAAAAACTTGATTGACTATATATATATATATATATATATATATATATATATATATATATATATATATATATATATATATATATATATATATATATATATATATATATATCACCGAGAGTAGCCTTGCCTGAAAATCTGTTTTCGAATGCTCGTTATGCACTTCAATTGTTTTTTATTGCATTTAGAAAAAAGCAATATTTTTTTATTGAATGTCAATTAGGCGCTAGTAAGACAGTCACTGATGTAAACCGCAGCATTCAGTCGCGGTATTTGTAAGTACAAATGTGCGGCTAAAGTGAGCACTAGATGATTATTTTACCGTTCTTAAGTTAGTGAAGTTAAGGAAATAGTGTTGTAATAAAACTTCAATGACTTTACACATAGCCTTCTACTTTGGACGCTTGTTTTCCGTTCTTCCTTTGACAAGTGAGCCCCTAAGCAAATGAAATGATTTTCATTACTTTACAAGGAGGGGAAGAGACAAAGTAGGATTAACAGATATCTTCAATGTTGTTCAAACATCGGAACAGTCACATTTGTCTGATTACATTGAATTCTCCCCTGTTAACGAACCATAATCGTGTCATGGCCTTCAATTCTCGTTTAATATAGTCAGAAATTGGGAGCAAAATAATCAAAAGTGTTGTACCAACTTATACTAACTTTACATTAGAGATTATGGTGAACGGTTGCGTTATTATATGGATAACATTGTGGACTTTGAGTCCATTTGGCTAAAGGTATCAATAAATGATGAGATTTTGTTCAGTATTTCATTCTGATGTGGTTTCTTGGTTAACAGCGTTCCTCAACAGTATTCTGAAGCTCCATAGTGATTGAGAGATATATGTGCCTTAGTTTTCGATGATAAATACTGTCAGATCTACAGTATTTGATATAAGAATGAAAACAGTGACCTTTAGAACACACATTATTAATGGTATATTCTGCAACCACAATATTACGGTACGATTTATATTGTGGAACGGCGGTTCATTTGCTTAGGTCCTCGACTTCTCAGTAATGGTTCAACCCCTACCTTATCTACTTCGACCTAACCAACCGGATAGTATCGTAATAACTCGTAGACGTAACTCACAGCCTAGTATACAAAACGTGTACCAAGTTGAGTTGTACTATTTTCATCAATTTATTACAATTTATGATACGTAAACATTTGCTTTGCATTGATTCACGTTTATTTTCAGTTAGCGAGGGTTTGAGAGTTAACCAAGGAATACTTAAATTTACTATAAATGGCAGTACAGAACAGTCACTAAGGTAGATGATGAAAAGTTTAGGGCTGATATATACAGCAGTTTCGGTAACAGACATTAAAAGTGAATTGGCCAGAAGTCCTTGACCTAATTTCCATGCTTTTGGGGACTTGTTACCAAGGTCTATTTGTGACCTACCGTTTGATGCCCATTAATGACCACAGAAGTTAGCAGACTTCGATCTGCGTTAGATATTTGGCAGATACACTAATTACCGTCTAATAACCAATTCTTAGTGAGTAGTTTTCACAAAGTAAAAAACTACTCAGACTGAAAGGGACTGTAAATGACTGTAAGTCTGCTTCCAGACAAGAAGTCCTCAATATCCGAAAAGACCTTCGCAGTCAATTAGTTAACACCGTATGGCAACTTAGTAATGAAGCATGAGTCATATCTACAATCCACGACTTATAATATTCGTGACTGTATGTAGTTTAGTGTGAAGTAACACAGTCTGCTAACATCCCTGACTGTAATACCGCGATAAATATGAAAGATGAAGCGGTTGCTGAGACCGAATTGACATTAATGTAATAAACATCATCTCAATGATCAAAACATTAAGTAGCTGATAATAAATGTTGAAGATATCAAAAAAGTGTTCAACTACTTACCATGGTTGTGTAAAACTGGTCTTTGAGAAGATGAATGCAACTTCATACCTCTAGCATTTTCTAAAAGATTCAAACGACGTAAACAATCAGCTAACGAGCTTCTTAAACATGCTAGTTCATTAGCTTGTTCAGCACTTCGTTTCTCCAGATCTATAACACGGTCTTGAAGACCAGCGTTCTCCAGATTCATCAACTCAACTTAATTCAAAATTTAAATACAGTAAAGTACGGTAACAAAATAAGCAAGGATTACAAAAAAATCTAAGTACATTCAACTGATTATACAACTTTACTGCAACTACGAAACATGCATTATCACAATAGAGAAGTGAATATCTAATAACCTTTATGCTAAGCTTAGAATAGTGACTATCAGAAAGGTGTTTACTATTTCAATCGATATACGCCATACGAAAATTAGCTTTTACCCGAATTCCCGGCAGTCCACTAAACGATCCATCCTTTTTGAGTTAAGATACAAAAATATCATTGCTCAAATGCCTGTAGCGGATGTTTTTAACTTTTACTGACCAATACATTAAAACAGGAGAGATTGTTAGGCTACACACCTGATAGCCGCTAAGTTATTTAACATCAAGGTGATAGAAGTAGGTTATTTTATTAAATGCTAACCGAACTTCCTGTGTCACCAGAATTTTTATCAACAACGAGTCTAAAACAACTAGAAGAAGTATTCAGATAAAACGTTTACCAATTCAAACTACTGAAACTCGCAGTCACACCAGAATAAGGCTAATTCTGAAACACTCCGTTTACACCCAACAAATCTAAAACGTTGAAGCACTGTTGTGCCGTTTGGAGGTGTTCAGAAAAAAACTTTCTTACATATAAAAACAACTCTTGCATAGTCGGAGTCCATCAGTATGTCACCGAGGAATGCTTGATAAGTAGGGACGAATTTATAATGAAGTAAAGAAAGGAGAGATTGAGGTCCTGTAGGAAATGAGGCTCAATATATGATTTGGTGTTACACAGAAGTGTCCAGCTGCCAGAATAGTTTCTGGTGAAGAATAATATGGAGTATAACTTTACAGGGAGGGAAGGGATATCTATTGATATGAGATTTATCAGGATGTAGGTATCGCGAAGGTTTTTGTACGTAATCTAACCTACGGACGATAAAAGTCCACAATAAACACCCAACATGCAACTATTATTTTCATTTTAGTCTGTTTATTAGAAATATCACACAGTGAAACAGTAGCGTTTACTGGATAACGTTTCGGACACAATTTATTGTCCATATTCATATCTGGTATTAAAGTAGACAAAAGTGTATGGGAGGAAAGAAAAGAAGTAGATTTCAAAGAGTGAATACATCTGGGTTATTGTGACCAATTTTCACCCATCACCAAGGATCTTCATCTAATGTCTCCTATTGCCTCGAGGAGCCTAGCCAGACAATCTGCACCTCCATACACAGCTTAGATCAGCAACCCAGGACTTCATCAACTGGTACAACAAATTGCTCATGCCATGTCTAACCCTCTTGCAACCAATCCTACTACGGCCAACATCGAATTTCGACATAGGTGACGACTTGACATGTGCAACATATGTTCAAGCAATCTCAGACGGTAAAAGTTCAGTCTCATCCATAGACTTGCTTGCCTTGGCCAGTAGCCTTCGTCTAACCTTTACATAGCTCGTATGATGATTTCACCATAGGTGAGCAATGCTACGACGACACCTGTGTCCGAAAATCTGTACTCTTCGTCTACTTTCAACAGCCATGTCTCACGATCACGTGATAAGACGGAGCGAACTTTAGCGCAATATACTGGTCCTTTAACAGGTAATCGGATACCTCACCCACACCAGAGAAGACGCAATTCGGAAACTTCAAGAATTCTAACTACTTCGTCAGTAACCAGTACATTTGGGTTGATGTAACCACCCAAGTAGGTAGTGGTCAAGAAATTCAACCACCGCACTTCCTTAAACATCAGTATGTCCTTTAAACTGGTCTAATGAACTCTAAAGAAAACAGACGATGAACATAAAAAAAATACATCTAGACAGAAAAAACAGCTTTATACTTGGTATCCTGCACAATCCACAGACGCACAGAAAGGAGATTAAATAACAAGGAAAGACAACCAAAAATATAGATATCAACCGCGATGAAAAAAACAAACAGAAATAAGCTAAGTGGACAAGACAGGGGGCAAATATGTGACAGACTGACGTGGTACTTAATTTTTGAGGTGGGGGGGGTCTGTCAAGCAATGACTGGAAACAAAAGCAATCTTTTTCCGGTCTAAAGACGGGTGTTTAGCTCACACAAATAAAGCTACAGCGAAGTTGGATGAAAGCTAGAAAAGCAGACTTACTACCACTGAATTATTTATATCGATAGTTCAGAGTAAAACGCACCTTAAGAGGTGTGTGAAGAACTTTCAGTGATGCAATATACTTTTAAAACGCTTCTTTGAGGAAGATACTAGCACCAACTCTCTCGACTGACATAGTCAAATAATAACAATACACCTCTCTTACGAAGTGAATCTGTATATAGTAAATATTTATTTAGCGGGGTTGAAAACTTAATAATTTGTTACGGTTTTCTGTGCTCAAAGTTCACTTTGACTTCGAATAACTACGAATCTTAGTTTTTAAAGCATATTGAATTTCGTCACTATAATTTTTCCATTTTGGATGACTAACGAACGACACCACTGAAGATGAGATGTCAGACTCCTATATTAGTTCCCAACTCGAACAGCATATCAAAGTTCACGGCTACCACGGTGAAATGACCTGAAGACTTCCCAATGAAATCCACTGTTCAACTCCGCTCCAGATTAGTCATAATTTTTTCCACCCCAGCAACAATCAAACAAACTGATAATGTTCCGCTAAGAATGTAACTACATCACGATTGAATAAAGAGTGGCTGAAGACCAACTGGACTTTTCTCACGTCGTTTTTCTCATCACTCCAGTTGCCGAATCGATCAGTTAATCAATATAAACATGATAACTGACAGTACTGTGCAACCGTCCGAGTTGTCACAACTTGAATCACTTCATCCAGTCACAAGATGACAAGATAAAAAATAGAAAATTGGGGAAAATATGAGCGAAAGTCTCAAAAGTCATATGAAGATAGGAGGACGGAATAAAAAGAATCGAAATCGAAATGCAGTCAGCAACCTTGTAAACGTTTGTGCAGTAGGCAATGAATCATATCTATTGTGTGAGGGCTAGTGATGTTACCTGGTTACCCAAACCTCGGTAGGTGGAGCAGGGAATAAGACCAATAGAGATTTGATAAGACGTGCGTACATGCACTTGGGCCACCGACATCGATTATGAGTCACATCACCTGGAGCCTTCAGCCACCGATTTCCGTTGTCATGCGGACAACAACCTGGAAGTCTATAGTTTGCACACAGCCAGACCAACAGTGAAAGACTACGGAATGATGCCACATCTTATTCCGGCCACTGTTCACCTTTTTCCAGATTAAACCTACTTCAGCTAATATCGGGCATCAAGATATGTGATGTCTAGGCATGTGTGGCAAGTTTGATGCACATCAGTCGATGAAGGTTTACGACCTCATCAACTGACTTACCTCTTTTACTTGAACTTTGTGCTAAACCTCCAAATTGCTAGGATGACGGTTTTACGATATGCAGGCAATGCTCCTGGGTCAATGTTGGTTGAACACCTGGCTTTAATAGCTAAGTTCCACAACCATGTAGGACAGCAAACTGCTGCGCAGTACGCTTTGTCCTAAGTACTTAATGGCTGGCATACCACAGCGTAAGTTGACAAACGCTGTTCAAGCCTTTTATGTCCGTGTAGAGATTGCGTCGCTCAATGACCTATCACGAGTAGGAGTGGTTTGACTTCTCAAATAAGTGGAGCAGTTAAGACGCTCAACTACTGCATTTCTTATAGTCAGATGTGACAACGATGAATAGTATTTAGTTGGAGAGACGTATCCCAAACATTCTCAAATCGCCACGCAAGGCGTCCAGAAGACTCGACATTTCGTCAACCTCTTCACTTAATCACAGAAGTCACCTCATTTTAACTGCTAAAAATACTTTTACAACAAGATAAATCTCTGTGAAATCAGACGAGCAGAAAAGGAACTCCGTAAGTATGTCGAAGATAGAGTTGAATAGACACGGAAAGAATGAACAACTCTGACAGATATCACTCGAGGCTTACAAATCAGCTGATATCTTACCACAAGCACTAACAAACCCACATACTTATGAATACATAACCATTATTGGAACGATGTACCTACCTGACACGCCTTACAGCAAGACTACCACAAAACTGCATCGATAAGATAAGCAATTGCCTTTACGTCAAGAAATAAGTGATGTCAGGGATCAGTAAATGTACGTCCCAAAACCTGGTGGGAGCCAATCTGGTCAACACACCCACTACCATGTCTGAAACCTGACTGGTTATTTCGAACTTTTAGTTCTGAGTTTCATTTAGGCGGCGGTCCAGGAAAAGCAAACTTGGAATATTCGATATCATCTTTATTAGACTGATGTCTTCGCAGTTATCTCAATAAAATCTATTTTTGATTCTGTAAGCTGAAACAAACCTCAATTAAGACAAATCAAGGAGTCGAAATATCATTTACATTTCCGAGTTACTGGATCTGTTGAAGAGTCACAAAGTCTTACTATCACTTTTTTTCACACCAGTGTCCTTAAAAAGTATGAAGAACCTTGTGATTAATTAATACAGCTTCTGTAGCACACTCATACTCAGCCTATTAAACAACAGTTTAACATTCCGGTTAACTGGATTACAGAGGTGACTTTCAGTCAACGACCCCATGGTTTAAATGCAACACAAACCGAATTCTACATAGGCAACCGGGATTAGTTCCTTAGGCAAGGTTGGAACGAAGTGAAGGCAGAAAGGAATAGCTCAGAGAACAAAACTACTTGAACAGGTTAGCGGAACACTCAGTGAAGTGCATAGTGATCAACATGAATAATCAAGAAGCACCCTGTTCAGTGGCATATAAATAACGGGTGAATTTAATCTTTGCTCAGCTATTTGTTATCCATACAGGAAACACAAACAGAGATCAAAATACGATGATTCTGTCATGGAAAAGGGTGCCTGAAGCTTGAACCGAAATTTCAAAACTTTTTGCTGAATACAACAATTCAACTCCAAAACTACATACAGCTTTCCAAATAGAAATGAAATCAACCTTACTGTACAGGGACCATTGATTATCCCAGCTAGCATTTGCTTCGGGTGCACATTATAAGTTTAGGGAAAAACCAGAAAATTTTACTTCAAGCACAGATAGGGGGAGACACACGATATTCCCCGAAACTGTCAAAAGTTCTAAAGTGCGCCCGAATCGTATGCCCGATGTGCCCCAAGTTACAAAGCGTAGGCAGTGAGCTCTAAGTTTTGGAATAACCTATATCCACAGCTCTAAGAAGACATATTTGGTAATATTATTACATATACCGTTCACGTTCCATTGCCACATGTTTGTGTATTACAAATCAATGAGGTGGAAATGGCCGACGGAAGTCGCCCGAAGTTGCTTCGGGCGAACCTTACTTGACGAACCTCCTTACAGTCAGGGAAAGTTGGGCTAAGTCTAAAGATAATAGGATACCTGTAGATGTCATTTTCATTGACTTTAGTAAGGTGTTCGACAAGACACCTCATTCCAGGCTTCTCGGGAAGCTGGAAAATTTTGGAATCACTGGCAATCTGCTCACATGGATAAGACACTTTCTTGTTGGTAGGAGACAGAGAGTTAGGATCAATTCTCAACTCTCCATTTGGAAGTCGACAGAGACTGGAGTGCCGCAAGGCACAGTCCTGAGCCTCCTGTTGTTTCTCCTTTACGTAAATGAGGTGCTAAGTATCACGAAATCCCCTTTGGTTCTCTACGCTGATGTAAAAATCTGGCGGGAAATTAGGAACTATGAAGATATACGTACGCTTCAGACAGACCTGAACAGCTTGTTTACCTGGTCAGAAAAGTGGCTGATGCTTGTCAATGCATGTAAATATGTGAGCATGCACTTAGGGCACACACAGCAACACCTACGATTTGATGGGACTCCTATACCATCAGTACTGACCCACAATGACCTAGGAGTCACAGTGAGTTGACTTGAAAACCACGGCTCACTGTCGATTGATAGCAGCTCGGATTTTTAGGACTCATTGGGCATTACGTAGAACGTTTACGAAAATAAGTGGTGACACGTTCACCATCTTATACACATCCTTAGTTAGGTCTAAATTAAAAAACTGTACACAGGCGGCTAATCCTTGTTTGAAAGATGGCGCAGACCTTCTAGGAAAGAGTTCAGAGGGCGGTCACTCGTATGATCCCTGCGATGGCTGGCCTCACTTATGAAGACCGACTTAAGGAGCTAAACCTTCACTATGTCCTACAGCAGACAGAGGAGAGACCTAATCATGCTATACAGGATTCTAAGAAATAACTCCGGACCTGATCTTTCTTCTCTTTTCCTTCTCACTAGGTCGGCACACCTCGAAGGACATGGTAGGAGACTACAAAAGCAAAGAACGAACACAGTCCCCGCAGAGTACTAGTTCTCGCGTCGAGTAATCAACACCTGGGACCGACTCCCAGAAGTGGTGTCCACATCATCAGTTAATGAGTCCAAAAGTGGATTGGACAAGCACATAAATCTACTGGAAAAGGATTTATATAGAACCCTAGCCTCCTATCCTCAAACAACAAATCTGGCTAGAACCTGAAAGTTCCAGAGTGCGCATGAAGTAAATGTTGGCTGGGTCGATGTAATTCGTTTAACAAACGGCTACTCACTCCAATAGAAACTGTAGTACTAATACTGCTTGACTGCACGAAACCTCATAAAAGGAAAGAATTCGAAGCTTATCGTTTACTGACTGACAGTAAATGTGTGCAAATGAACTAGTTCCACCTACACAGAACGTAACTTTCAAACGTACCTCATTGCAGTTATGCAGATAACCCACTCAGTCAGTTATCCTTTATGTCGTTTATGAGTATGAAACTATGGTAAGTGAGAAAGGAGTGAAAATACGCAAAAACGAAATTTTCCTAACATGGTGTGAGCAGTTAAAAAAAAACAGGTGGTTTTTTAAGATACATTGGTGTTTAATTATCAGCGAAAGTAATAAATGATGACAGTATGGCTTCTAATTCACTTCCTAAATGCAGAAAAAACTTATAATAAGAAACCAACCATGCATTTCTGGACGCAGTTTAAATAGTGTCAAGGTCGTGTCTCACGGCTTTAAATAGTTCAAGGGGTTTTGATGGAATAGACGCTTTCGGTTAACTGCCTTGCGATTCTGCTGTTAAAAATGAATCTGGAGTTATGAGGCGGACCAAATATCTAATATCCAATATTTATAGTGCAAGCGTAGAAAACTGATAGTTTTTATCTCTCGCGTCTAGTTATTAGACCTTGGTTCGAGTTGTTCGGTTCACTCCTTCAGAGGATGAAGAAATCCCTTTGTTCTCCTGTTTTTAGCTCCGATGAGGCGGATGCTTTTTGATTTAGTAAGTTGTAATCCGTGGAGTGAGTGGGGAACTACGGCTGCCAGGAAGGTCATGGGGCTGTCGTGACTCCTGTCTGTGTAGGTGGTACCTGAAGGAGAACAACAAGGTAGTGGTAGAGAATGAAAAGTTTGGAGAGATAAAAAGAAAAAAGAAAATAAAGTTAGAGAAAAATTGGAAGAAAAAGAGAAAAAGGAGGGGTAAAAAAGAGAAGTAAAGGAGAGAATTGCCCGAATGGTAAAAACAGATAGCCTGGGTCTATTCCCAGAAAAGAATAAGTAGGTAATGTGGGCGTATTAAAGAGAGAGATAGTGTGTGGTAGGTAGGAGGCGGCTTGGGGCTAGGGAGTCTGGCGACTCTTTGAGTACTTCCATGGTGGATCACAAGAGGTAACACGACTGTCTAACCGTCTCTTGAATGAGCTGACCGAGGGGGCTATAACGATATGTCGCAGCGTGGCATTCTATAAAGCACATACTCTCAAGGAGAAAAAATTGGACACAAGTGTGATGCTGGCTCTCTGATGTTCTATCTTAATGGAGTCTCCTAGTGAAGACCGCTGTGTTGCAGCCAAGGTTGATTTGTTTGAGTGGCTCGCCCGATGGGTGATCTTGTATGCCATAATAAGGTAGCCCCTCCTTCTACGATAACCTAGGGTGAATAGGTGTAGGTGTTCAAGTTTTTCAGAATGTCTTTCCTCTTAGTCCTACAACTGATTTTTTGCGGTTCTTCGTATTTTTCCAAGGAGATTAGAGTTTTTCTTGAGTGTTGGGGGACCACTGTATTGAAGACCTCTAGATGTGGCCGCAGGTTGGATTTGAAACAGGTGAGGAAGAGTTTGCAGGCGAAGGTGCCAGGCTGTCTACGCAGAAAGTGTAGAATGGTGTTCACTCTGGTTGTCGTACCTTTGTAGGCGGAGCTGGTGTTCAAGGTATCGGAGAAGTTGAGCCCCAAATCTTTCTCCATGGACACTCTGGCGATAGCACGGTTGCTCAACATGTACTGGAAGTCGGTCGTACTTGCTTCATATTTACCGATATGTACTACTTTGCACTTTTGCAGGTTGAAGCTCGGGCCGTTTTTCGACGACCAGATTTTAAGTTGCTGCAGGTCCTTTTGTGGTGCTGTACAGCCAGTTTTCTAATTCCACCAGCGAAGAGGAGGACGGATGAGGATATTTTGTCTGGCAGATCGTTGACAAACAAAAGGAATAGAAGTGGTCCTAGGATTGCTACTTGACATACTCCTGGTGTCGATGGTTTCTACTCCTATCTTGTTCTGTCTGCTTTGTTGTTTTGTTGTCGGTACCGATTGGGGCTTAGAGTCGTGAGCTGGGAAGCTCGGCAGTCTCTAGACTGCTTAGTACACTTCTGTGATAAGATTCACTCCCTTGTCGGGCGACTTCTTTTTCGACATGAACTGGTACAGGTTTTTGGTTTGCAACCTCCTGGCCGGGTTTGTGTGATGGGAGAATCTGCGGCTACGCACTCCAATGTTACAGCAGTTGCGAGTCCTCTTGTAGTTCATAAAGTCAGAGTCCCTTCGTGATGAACGCCACTTGGAACAAGCCCGCTTCCTGCTTTGGGTAAGCCTTTCTGTCCCACGCCTTAGCCATGAGGTTCTCGCTGACGGTCTGCGTGTTACCTCTGGTACACCGTGACTGATGGCCCCAGGGCTTGGTTTCTTCACTTGTAACCAGTGTTCATCTGTTGTGAGATGGGCCCAGTCTACTGGCTATGATGGATTCGTGCGAACAGTTCCATTCATTTCATTGGCTTCCGCTTGGGTCTACTTTAAAATGAAATACCTTGTCGTTGACGATGTTTTGTCCAAAGTGCAACTGATGTTGATTCATTAGTGTTACATCACAAGTCAGTCGCAGTTCAACAAATCCACAGGTAATCAGCGACTTAAACCCGGCCACTTCATATTCCACCTGTATATATGCATATATATGTATATGCCATCCCTCACACCCATCTATCCACATGAGGATTTCCTCCACGTATAATATTAAATTGCCTAGCATTATTGGAGAAGTATAATCACGGTATACTGTCTTACATTCGATCGGGTTGGAAGATGTAAAGTAATGGAAAGGCAATTGAGTAGCATCATTGCAGTTTAGCTCTCTTCCGAGCCATTAAGTTAATCCATCTCTGGGACTTGATCATTTGTCAAGATTTTTGCAGCTGCTGTAACCCAGCAGGCCGGTCAGTGCTGGTACTCGATTTTCTATCGCTGTCTTCGTATAAATTCTTGGATGTAGGGCATTCTTTCGTAAATTAAAAAAGAAACCCAAGTGAACATTAGTAGCATGTGCACTTTTCCAACTACCCACAGTGCGCAGGAGAACTACTACTCAGATAGCGCACGCAGACTTTGGTAGATCCCATAGAATATACGGAGCTCAATGTCCATGACATCATTAGTTTATGAATTTAGAGGTCCAAGAATGTCCTCATGTACCCAATAGGTGCAGATTGTGGCTGAGAGGGTGGCCGACTAGTCGCTTGTAAGCTACTCATACGGAGAGGAAAGAAAATGGGGGTGAGCTTGCAATGCGTATTTCTTCAGGAGGTCATTTTTTATGGAACTTCCACTGTGGGGGCAACATGCCGACATCGCCATCGTGCTATTGTGCCCATACCATCTAATAACCGTTTTCTATATATGTGTTTGACCCCAACGGCTGTAGTTCATCTGTGATAAGAATGGCTGTCTCATTTGATCAGCGTTCAAGAAATGTGCATACTATTTGCCATGGCGACACACTGCTCCGACCACAGTTAACCCGAGACCTATAAGTGAGCTAATTCAACAAACTTGTTCCTACTTGCCCGTATGCCGAGTAGTCGGAGCTCAATAGCTCACTCGATTTTTTCTAATGGGTGACCTTGTAGTGCCCAGTAAACTTTGTTATGATTTCTATCTATTGTGAAATTTATATTCACTTTTGACTGTAACTGAATAATGAATAACTTTTGATGTACACGTTGAGTTTTTGCCCACTTGACTAACCCACCAGTGTGCTTGAAAAAAACGTTTTACCTCTGCCACCGCCTTCTTATTCGCTACGCCATGGTTGTCTAAAGCAAACTGTTCCGAGCATTAACTATAAGCCCCTGGGTCCAATGTTGGTGAGCCCGACAACGAACATTGTTTGCATTCATTCGTTTTAATCGTCTATCTACTGATTTTGGATTTCTAAAATGTCCAACTTCACTGATTTTGATTCTGACATTGTGAAGGAGTCCGTTTCGCCGAGAATTGACGCTTTAGTCCCTACCAAGAGTCGACTATCAGACTTTGACGAACAAAACCCAAAACTGTGGTTAGCTCAGCTGGAGCGGTTCTTTGACCGACACAGCATAACTTCAGAGATAGTGAGACACAAAGACCTGCGCTCCATTATTCCTCTCTCTCTCTTTCTCTTGGTCAGCGAAGTGGTCCGTGACCCCGCAATGAATACCCCGGAAGCAGAAGCTTATTCCGCGCTCAAGCGTGTGATAGTAAGCCATCCGTCAATGTCGAACAGCCAACTGATCCAACGTCTGCTACGAGGGTAGATGTTGGGGGGTAAGTCCCCATCACAGTTCTTGAGACACTTGCAGAAGATGGCGGGGGACACTGTGGTTGAAGAAGCCATTCTCAAATAAGCTTGGACTCAGGCGCTGCTGCATCATGTCCAGTATGAGTTTCACACACAGGACCCGAAGGCCCCACTTCTATAATTAATTCAAGTTGCAGATAGCATTGCAGGGAGAGGAGTAACCAGGGACAACCTCTTATCACTGTGCCCTAGTCATGGCTCATCTAAGGACGCTATCGTTAGCGACTCTAAAATGTTAACAGAAGCTGTGGCCCAAATCCAAATGACTCCAAGCCAAAGGGGCAAGTTTCCGCTCAGACATAGATCATGAAGTAGACCCAGACACTCTCGGCAGTTTAGATAATTCTGTTGACATTAACGGAAGTACAGCACGCGGTCTAAACGATGTACGGAACCATACGCCTGCCCTAAGCAATCCTCTGGAGAAAAGGGAACTGAATATCACTTTTCAGACAGCAACTGCTGAGCAGGGTGCCCGAACAGTCGCCTATTCTACGTCACAGACAGAAATTCCGGCATAGAATTCCTGGTGGATACGGAAGCCGCCCCTAGTATCCCACCACGAGACAAGGTCGAGCACGGACACTAAATGTCCGCGGTCACGCTACAGGCTACCAATTAAACACAAGTAGTGAAGTTCGGACAAAAGGCCATCGCCCAGGATCTTGGGTTCAAACGGCACTTCCGTGGGGTTTTCACCACAGTAGATCTGGACCCCGCAATTTCTGATATGGATTTTCTGGAGAGGTATGTATTTTTAGTGAGCACAAAGAGGCGGAGGTTGACGCTGAAGGAAACATTTAGATACACAACAGACAAAGCCAGAACCACCGCATCCTTAAACCTGGTACCAATTTCCCCAACATCGACCGAAAGGTTTAGAAATATACTGGCAGATTTTCCAAACCTGACGTCACCCAACGCGCAGACCTCTCACATAAGTCCTAAGGTGACGCATAGCATTAAAACACAAACCCCCTGCATCCACAAAGCCCAGGAGATAAGCTCCAGATGAACTGAAATTCGCTAAGGCGGAATGTGATTATATGCTTCAGCTAGGCATCTTTCAGTGGACTTCTCCACAACAATGGTGCCCAGGGAAAATCAAACAGACTGGTGACCACGCGGAAATTATAGAGCGCTGAACGAGCTAACCATTCCTGACAGGTGCCGGGA